ATAAACTTGCAAGTGTAAAGTGTTGCCACACAGCAAGTGTGTGGGTGCATTTATAAGTGATATGCAGAACATGCAATTAACAAGAGCAAATTCACTCGACTCACTCAGTGCCGCCTGCGTGTATGTGTATGTGTGCCTGTTGTTGTGCCAGCGTGTGTGTGCGCGTGTGTGCCTGCAGCTACAAGCTCTGCCTCGCCTCAGCTCGACTCGCTTGCCTCGTGTCGTGTTGCCTTCTGCTCTTTTTTGCCTGAAGGCAGCCACACACATACACACACACTCGCACACACACTGCAGCCGGCACAGCACGAGACGCCCACTTTTAGCTGCTGCTGGCAATCTTGGCAGCTGCAATTTGGTTAGCCAGCTTGCCCCACCGCACCGCAGTGGCCTGTTCGCCCGCCTCCTTCCATTGTTTCCATTTTAATATAATTCTCACGTAATAATTGCGTTTGAGCAGTGTCAAACTATGCCAACAAAAGCAGACGTGTGAAAGGAAGACTCTAGCCTCTAGACTCTAAACTGTAGACTCTGATCTTTGGCAGACCCCCTTCGACACAACTGTCCGTTGCAGCGTCTCCCCACTGCTGACCGACTTTGAGAGTCAAGCCAAATTCATTGAGAAATGAAGCGATTTTGTGTAAAATTTGTTATTGAGGCCTTTTTTAAATCTGCATTTCGATTAAGCTTTTCAGGTCTTCTTACTGGCCATAATGGCCATTATGGTACAGATATATTCTCCTATGCCTGCCTCCATTTGCATAATATCGATAAATATTTCAAGATATGTTTTATTAAGCATAACTCGTAGATTATATTAGCTAGATACACCAAGCATAACTCGTAGATTATATTAGCTAGATACACCAAACTTGGTAGGTAGGCTCTTGTTTGGTAAACATTGATAAGGATTATTTACTTTTGGGATTCATCGGATTTAACTTATGGCTCCCATAGACACTATTTGATATGTAGTAATCTACTTGATATAGTTCTCATGGGAACTATCTGTGGTGAATTATATTGCAATATGCTCTGCAGGGTTACAAAAAATCAATTTGGTTTATAAAACTTCTAAAATTATTAAGCAAAATCTTGATGAAAGTTCAACAAAGTTTCAAAATGTTGTCTACACAAGTTTTTATTATATTTACTACGAAAACGCCTAAAAGTATACTACAATTTTCTGCCACGCAAAATACTGGGAAGCACAATACAAGCAGACATTTTAAAATACACTTATTAATGTAGAAAGCATTAAAAAAATGTCTGGGACAAAAGTTGATTGATTCTAAGGATATTGAGTTTTCTTTTTAAATAAGCCAGCCTGGAGCTCTAGTATTCATAGAAAACAATCTAGACAACTTTTATTAAGTTCTTGAATTATGTATTCTATTCTATTTAGGTAATTGGCAACATTCTTTCTGTGTCCTTTGTGGAGTTCCTTTAGCTGGCTCGTTGTCAGCTTTTTGCAGAACTTAAATTGATTTCTGCATGAGAGCTTTAAGAATTTCTACTTGTTATTCATATTTCACATTCCTGTGTATTTCTGTAAAGAAATGCCTTCGAAAGCTCGAAAATAGAAAAAAGGCAGCTTAATGCGGATATCTTCTAGTTACGTTTCAGCCCCCTCAGTCTACTTGTTTTTTATGTACAAAGGGCACATCCTTTCTTCATCATTTTTTTTATATTGTGCTTTCTATTATGAGAATTTTGCAAATTTGCACCGGAAATTGAATTTTTCATTTGCGTATCCTGCGCAGCCATTTGGTCGCCATCTTTTGCCAGCGCGCCTCTTGGTATTTTATTATTTTTAATTTCCCCGTCAGCAATTATAAGAAATTTTTCTTCGACTTCATTTTGTATAATGATAATTTAATTAGCTGCAAGTGCCTTTTTACCGTTTGCCAGCTCATTAACTGCACTTAACTGGCGCCCGACGACTTTTCGTGAATTTTTAATGACAGGCCAAACGTTCCATGCCTCGTCCTCATCCAACAAACCATCCACCCCGGGCTTCTTTACGCCTCGGGAGATCTGTCATTCACAACAACACAAACTGGCAGGCTGGCTGGCTGGTTGGCTGGTCGGCAGGACTGGGCTGGCATTGTGTATCGCTATATATGTACATGTCAATTAATGTGAAATTGATAGCATTCGGGAAATTTACTTATATTTTTGCATATGTCAATATTTACATGCCAAACTGCAGTCAGCCGCGAAATTTATGTGCAAACAGAATTGTGTTTGGTCCTATTATTTTTTTGCGTAAATATTTGTGCGCGCATACACGTGGCGTATGTGTAATCAGTCAGCTGAGCAATCAAAAGCGTAGGCTATGGATATATATAACAACGAGCGAGGAGTAGCGAGCGTTCAGATTAGCGAGTGATGCGTATGATGGCCTCGAATAGGAAAAGCTATGGTTGCTAAACAGCGAAAAATAAAAAAAAAATTAGAGCTGTCAGTGTATACAGAGCAGCGAGTTGAAAGCAGCGAGCGTTTATGCACGAAACAAGCAGATCACTAAAGAGGCTTTTTAAGAACGGGTATTAAGCAACGAGTAATAATAAACAAGTACAACAGGGATTACAAAGCAACGGAGAACGCAGCGAGTGCAAAGCAAAAGAGCGAATGCAAGGCAACTAGTGGTAAACGAAGAACAAAGAGCGAGTGCAGAAATGTGTGCAGGCAGCGAGTAGAAAGTAGCGTGTACTGAGCAGCGAGTACTGAGCAGCGAGAGGTAAGCAGCTAGTAACGAGTGCCAAGCAACAAGGGTGAAGTAGTTAGCAACGAGTAACTTTGTATAACAGCGAGCAGTATAAGACCAGAACTGAGTAGCGAGAGAAATGTAACTAGTTGCACGCAGCGAATGTCAATAATGCGAATGATAGACAAAGAGTAGTGAGCATCGTCCAGCAACGAGTGCACTTGCTGAGCGCCAACAATTCGTTTGTCGTTGTAATTCTGGCAATTTGCCTAAGTGCAAGCGAATGGACGCCTGGACGCCGCTGTCGACTTGAAAGTTTTAATTAGAAACGCAACTGCAAAATGGAAGACTAAAGGACTAAGAGGGCAGTGCAGCAGGCAGTCAAGCGAAATGAGCAGACAAAATGCGTTGACAGACGATGTGAAAGGAACAACGGCAAAGGCAGCGGCTGCGGCAGCGGCAGCGAATCTCAACGAGGCCAGCGCCAAAAAGTAACTTTAATGGCAATGGTAAGAATAAATGAATGGGCAAAAAAAAAGGAGGAAAAAAAGATGGCAGAGCGCACAATTTTATGTGGCACACCAAACTTTTGACATAAATTCGTAGCGCCAAAAAATGAGAACTGATGCGTCCAGCCAGATATATGGCGTGAGAGTTGCCACCTTGGCGGCATGTTACTTAGATACAATTCGCTAAGACGCTGCCAGACGACTGTCAAATTAATTTTAATGCGATTTTCATGGCTGTGTCTCGCATAACTTTTGCGGATTTTAACGATTATTGGCCCTAATGTGAATGCAAGCCCGCAGATACACTCGACACGCGAACAGCGCGTCCTAGAGTTGCCAGACCGCCCGCTCGTCCGTCTGCCTGACTAGCTGCCTGCCTGACTGCCAGTTTGCCACCCAATTGAAACAATCTTTAAATTTAGCACATGCCGGCGACAGTCGGCAGCAAATGCACAAATTTATTGCCCGCCGCTACTTGAAATTGGTACTGGAACTGGCTTAAACGCTGGCTCATGCATATTTGATGCCAAATATAAAGCGGACATAAATTCAACTCGAAATTTACGCAGCAAAGTAAAAGTAATGCCTGAAAAGAAGGCCAGAACGGGGCCACGCACGCACCTATGTATGTATGTACCGAGTGCTGGGGACTTGAGAACTTTGTCGTTTGATTTCTTATTTTCCTTTCCATTCTTTTTTTTTTTTGTTTTGTAATGTGAAGGACAGAGACTTTTGGGGCTGGCGGAGCTTAGTCGTCATCATACAAAAAGAAAGTTGCACCGAAAATTGTTTATTTTATTTTCTTTTACTTCTTTTTTTATTTATTTTGTTGCTGTTGTTGTACTTTACCTTGACGGCATTGACAAGTTGAGCGACTGCGTTTGAGGCTTACCTATAATGGTTTATTAAAAATTAAATAAATATTGTGGTTCTGAAAGTCGCCGGTAATAACAGCTTGAAAAGGGACCAGTGGGAGTGTGTGGGGGCCAGCAGGAAAGCTTCTTATGTTCGACAAAATTGAAAAGTTGTCAATCTCTTGTGGCGCCCATCAAAAAATATAAAATAAAGTTTTAAATATGCATACAAAAATTTCCAGAAAAAAAGGAATTTTAAAAATGGTATAATACATAGTTTAATATTGTACGTTAGGAATTAAACATTCGAAGAGATTTTAAATGTTAATCATATTTATATGTTGGGTTTATTAAATTATATACATGTATATAAATTATGAGGTAATAAAATAATATTAATTTAATGTGCTGAGCCTAGTGAATTTTATTTAAATAAATTCTGGCATATTTATTAAAAGATTAAAAGATTATTGAAAAGTTTTCGTAGTTTTGAGGTCATAAAATAATTTATAATTTTATAAAGATATGTTAAACATTATTGAATGATAATATCTAAAATTATATATAAATTAAATTTATTATGTAAATTAATATTATAAAATAATTAAATTTAAATGAAATGTTTTAGTTGAATGACAAAAATATTCATTATAAAATTTACAGCTACACTTATAGAAGAAAATATTTTCATAAAAGGAAATTTATAAATATATAAAATGCATAAAAAGCAGCCGTAAAATTTTTTCTTATTTTACTGTTAATTACCTTTAAATATAAAAAATGTAGCTTATTTCAATTTTGCACTCTCAGTAAAGCTGTAAATATTATTTTAGTTGTTGTCCTCTTCTGCTGCTCATTTATAAATTAGCAAGTAAACGTTTTAAACCAACATTTTAATTATATTTTCTATCAATTTGTCTATTTTTGCAGTCCTGTTAACAACGTTGAGCGGCTGCTGTCTGGTCCTGGCCGATGAGTCCATCGACACCCGCGAGAACGCGGATCTCGTGTTGAAGTGTCGCTTCACCGAGAAATATGAGGCAAACGATTTCTCATTCTTTTGGACGCGTTCGATATCGAATCCGGCGCAATTTGACAACGTAGCCATTGGTGAAGTGCAGTTGAGTTCCGGCTATAGGTGAGTAAAACCCGCTCTAACAACCACACACACATCCACTCACACACGCGCATAAAACGATGATGTGCGTCAAGCCCGTAGTTAACTGCAGCAATGAAAATCTGTGGAAATTGCTGTGCCAGTTCCTGTTCCTGTTGCTGTTTGCAGTTATCCTGTTATGTCAGCCTTTGCCATTTGTTAAGTTAATTAAATGTCGCACATCCCCACACACACACACACACACACACACACATACACACAAATACATATATGTAATGCGATTTATGCATGTGACTCTGTGTCTGGGAACTTAATTAAAATCAAGTTCTTGGCTATTTAAACGGGTCGCAACAGCGGCTCAGTTGGCCAGCCAACTGTTCTGGCCATATCCTTAATCCTTAATGTCAATGCCGACGCGTGTTAAACATTCGCACAGTTATGAGGTACACACACTCGCACATTCACATCCACACACACTCACACTCACTCACACATCCACTCACACACACACACTCACTCATATGTGTCTGTTTATGTTTCATTTTCATTGCCCGCGCGCCTGCTCGTCCGCTCGTTCGCGCCATTTTGCAATTGTATTTTTATTTGCTTCGTGCCTCGACTTCCGCTTCCGGCTCTCGTTGCGCACTCGGCCTGTTTTTAATGTATCGCTTGGTTTGACTCGTTTTCTGTTTTTCTCCTGCTTCCGCTGCTGCCGCTTCTTTTGCCTTCTTTATGTGGCAACGCATAAATTTTAAGTGCCCAGTCGAGGCCACAAAATGCATCGCGTTTGCCTGCCAAATGAAATGCCCAACAGCAGGCAGCGCTGTCGGACATTTTGCCAGCTATATGTGTGTGTGCGAGTGTGTGTGAGTGTGTGTACACTCGCACAATAAAAGCAAATCAACAAAACAGCAAATAGAAATCCAAAACATAAAAAAAGCGCAAGCAATGCTAACGTAGTACTCGCTGGGTCGAGGCCCAGTTCCCAGGCAAATTGTAAAATACATTTTTACTGCAATTTGTGCCGAAAGCTAACAAGCAGCAGCAGCAACAATAAGAACAACCAAACATAATACAAACCGCGTCCTAACCAAGGCATTCCCCATATACCTCTATATTTCGCCAATTGTATCTGTATCTGTTTAATGTATCTGTATCCGTATCTGTGTATCTGTCGCTGCAAAAGTGAAATTACTGCAAATTTCGCAGCTAGCCAAAAAGGCCGCTGCGATTTCTGGGTTCAACGAAACTCCAAAATGGCATAACAAAATAAAGACCCACAGGCAGCGCAGAGAAACTGGAGAGCAGAGCATAGCAGCTCAGGGAGCCCGAAGCTAATATATCGTTAAACATTTCATTTAACGAGCCAGACGCAGACACAAATTTTTGGCCGACCATTTCGGAATGCAAGTCATGCTGCCAATTGGTGATTCTCAGTAAATCGCAACAAATCTCCATAAAAACGCCAACAATTTGCTTAAAATTTCAATCATTTTAAGTAAATCAAGTGTGGGTGGCACTTTAAAATAGAATGCAAATATAGATATGCCTCTATATATATATGTATACACATGCTATATATATATATATGTATTTACTTGTTCATGGTATAGGATCGGTCTTATCTTAATTTCAGGCATTTTCAATATATGGAACTGCAAGTAAAGATCGCTTAAATAACATCTATGCGCAGCGAAAAGTTCTTTATATAGGCAAAGTTCTTTATTTAGATTTCTTTAATACAATTATCTGCCTGACTTCTCGCAGGTTCCTCTTTTTGAAACATCTACGATACATTTTTGAGCTACTGTTTAACAATTTCGGAACGTTTTAAATTGGAACATCCTTCGAAAACAGTTGAGAATAAATCATATGCTAGATTTAGATCTGATATGCACATGATGCCTATACTCTTTTATAGCTCTGTTATTGCTAGCAACTATATTTTATCGATCTCAAATCGATTTTTCAAATAAAGAAATTTTTTATTTCTGAAACATCCTTTGGAAATAGTTAAAAATTAGAACTAGCTCTGAAAAACATATGATATTTTCGCTCTATTAGAACTCTTGTCAGCTTCTCGAAATGCAGTCGTTTTCACTTGCTGGAACATCCTTTTTGCTGCACAATCCAAAATGTAGACAACACACACATTAAAATTGAGTTGAAAGCTGAAACCAAAACATGTACCGGAATGTCCCATTGCCAAATAATTGGCTGCGGCAATGGCCGTTTAACGTTTAGCGCCAAACGAATAGACGGCCAGAAAAGCAAAAGAGATATGGGCGTGAGATATATATATATATATATATATATATATATATATATATAGAGATGAAGCGAATCTGCATTGGAATCTGCTAAACGAATTGGAATTCCGAGCACAACGAACCGAATCCCAGACAGAGTACGCCTCCGGCAATGGCACACTAGAAAATTGCAGCAACAGCTCTCCGCCTGCCGTGGGCCAGGAGAATGGGGCGGTTATTTCGAAAAACAAAAAAAAATTAAATAATAATACAGGGGCTATACTACAAATCCCGCAGGAGCTTTTGGCGCTCAAGGACGTGCGACACGCGCGCCATTTTTTTTTTTAAATGCTTTAAGCGAACGCTTGCTGCATTCTACGAAAGATTCGCGTTTTTCCCCAAGAGGCAGGCGATGAGTGGAGAACTGCGCTTTGCCAGCAATTTTTATAATTTGCACCATTTTTTTTCTTTTTTTCTACTTTATCTGTATCCTGTTGGCCCGTTGTCCTGTCCCCAAGCTCAGGCTGCAAATGAGCAGCTATGGCGGCCGCTGGAGACGACGCGGCAAATAGAAAAATAATAATACAAAAAAAAAGTTGAAAAATAGATTCAACTAGACGAAGGACGCACGAGCTAGAGCCTGCAGAGAATTGAGTCAATTTGCCTGGCTACAATAATTTTTTCCCTTTTTTTTTTATGGGTCAACATTGTTTTTTGAGTTCTTTTTTTCTTCTTGCATATTCTCTATTTAGAGGTTTTTTCCATAGTTTAATTCCTTATTTTTTTTTTGTGAGTTTTTTGGCCAAATTGCCAGCCACGCTCTGCTGTGGTTTTACTGTACGGTAAACGCGTTCGTCTAACAAATTAAATTCTTTTTCCGCTGACGCGTGTTTTTGCGGCTTGCAGCAATTAGCGTGGGGCGCAGTACGAGAAGGGGGGAGTGCGGAGCGGCTGCTGTGTTGCTGAGTGAATTGTCAATTAAAGCCATAAAATGCGTCTAGACGCCAAATGAGATGTGTCGAGCTGCTATCAAGTGTCCTCAATGTCCAGTCACGCCTTGGCACTTGGCAAACACCACTTCGCTGCCTTTGAGCTGTGCTTGACAAATGAAGTTCATAGTTCGCCAATGGGAAAGGGGGCTCTGGAGGGGTCAGCATCTTGTTTGCCAATTTAATAAACTGCTGCGTAGTCGCTGCGTCGCAGCCATCGATCCATTGACCAGCCAAGTGGACGGTGGCAGCTCCTCAGCTGCGTATCAATTTTCAGTAGTTGTCCAGGACAACCAACGAAATAATCAGCGTGCTGGGGAAATTGTAAAAAAAAAATTGCCAAAATATATATCAAGTAAAATAAAATTCAAGAGCAGTTCACAGTAAAAGCGATAAATTATCCGAAGACTAAATACACTAGCAGAAAAACATGTTTAACAAGTTCTTTGGGAAAACTTGAATATTAACACAAATACATATAAAGCACATAGGAAAAGGAATAATTGAAATATGTTTAAATTTCAAATAAATACGAGAGATTCAAAGAATATAGAGCTTATTACGCGTACTTACAAAGCTCTATGTAATATAGAATACAGCATTGAAACTATAAAAAAAATATATTTATTTATAAATTATAATATAATAAAAGTTAAACAAAACTATATAAAAATAGTAAATGTGTAGGAGCCGCTTTAGTTGAAAAATAATCTGCTATCTGTTTAGTAGAATTCTCATCTGACGACGCCCAATTAATATTTAATATTAATAAATTTGTTAAATATTTATATGGCTAACTTTGCTTCAACTAAATTCACAATATAGTAGGTTTTGAACTGAAAACCTTGCCAGGTCAAGACGAACTCTGTTTCCTATCATCCACTCCAGTACATATTCCATACACCTCACATTTTTATGCGTCCCAATTGTGTTCATCGCATCATAATACCCGAAGCTGTTGAACTTAAATGGATTTCTTCAGAATAAGTACATTTGGCAACTACAACAAATTGAAGCAGCTAAAAATTGAGACAACTTTTGGGAAATTGGATTGATTTTCTCTTGATTATCCGGCTATGGGGGAGTTTGTTTTTCCCAAGCATTTAGCAAATATAGAAATTCAATTAGGAATAAGAAAAGTTACAAAATTTACAATTAAAATGTGGACTTAAATTTCTGCCTTGGCAATTAAATTGACAGCAGAAAGAAAACACTTCAAGCCCAACGACAACAGCAGCAGCAACAACAATTACAACTGCAGAAATGTTGACATTTTGTTTACCAATCGGTTGCTAACGTCTGGCAACCCTCCGCAATTGCCAAACCTTCCAACTTTTCACCGTTGTCATCGTTATCGTCAATCGAAGTCATCGTCTAGGAAAATATGCAAACATTTATTGAACGTTGATTTTATTTATGTTGCTGTCACACGCCCCGCCTTACGCCCCTTGCCCCTGCCATTGACAGCCCCAGCTCAAATATTAACATTTGCTATTTATTTATATTGCGAATCGTTTAAAGTTGAACCACCTGCGGGCCCGTACGGCAGCAGTCGTCAGCAGTCAGGACCCGCAGCAGGACATCAGCAAAAAACTCAATATTAGCACAATTAGTGTTGTGGCTCTTAAAGGGCAGCCGATATGGGCGAGGTGTGTGCGCCCATGGCGAGCACTGGCCAAGTTTTTAAATAAAATAAATTGAATTTTCAAATGGAATCGCCGTTTGATTCCCGGAAAAAATACTTATAAAATTGGTGTATATACAAATATTTTTAATTAATTCATTTTCTATTATTTTCTGTATCATTTGCAGACTCGACTTTCAACCGGAGCGCGGCATTTATGATCTGCAGATCAAGAATGTCTCCTATAATCGGGACAATGGACGCTTCGAGTGCCGCATCAAGGCCAAAGGCACCGGTGCCGATGTGCATCAGGAATTTCATAATCTCACCGTCCTAACGCCCCCACATCCGCCCGTCATCTCGCCCGGCAGCATTGCCGTTGCCACCGAGGACAAACCCATGGAGCTGACATGCAGCAGCATTGGCGGCTCACCGGATCCCACCATAACGTACGTTTTGGGGATTATCTACATAAGCTCTATATATATGTATATAGGTTTATATGACTGCCTGAACCAACCTTTCAATCTCTATTTCTCTGCTTCTTTCACTCATTTAGCTGGTACCGCGAGGGTTCAAACTCGCCGCTGCCCGCCACTGTGCTGCGCGGTGGCACCAAGGATCAACCCACCAATGCCACGCTGTCGATTACACCACGTCGCGAAGACGATGGCGCCAAGTACAAGTGTGTGGTGCGCAATCGCGCCATGAACGAGGGCAAACGCCTGGAGGCGACAACCACATTGAATGTTAACTGTGAGTACCGATTTAATTCTATCTGCATATACCTTATATCCTCCAACTTCTAAATGAGGCTTAATCAGCGGCAGACCAAACTTGTCAATATTTAAAATTGTACACTGGGAATAGAATAATATTTGGCAATATAAAAAACTCGAGTTGCCTAAATTAATTACTTTTACCCCATCATAAATCAGTTCATGCAGCTTGATATTTTACAAGATTATATTTGCGAAGACTTTAAACCTTAAGCCTTGGATGTCTTGAGTCCGAAGAAAAGTTAAAACATTCTTTAAAGACTCAATATAGCGAGAATGATCTTCAAGAGCTTTAAGCTTTAATCAATCTAATTTGGATTCCTAGAAGCTTTTTAATTATTTTAAAGCTTTCAAAAAAACGCCATCGCAGTAATGGTAATTTTTTATTTTTCATTGCTTTTATTTTTATTGGCTTAATTAAAAAAAGCTTTCATGTGCTTTCAAAGCTTAGTTTTTCGTAAAGTCCTTAATTTTTAAAAATTACGCAGGTTCGCTTACATGTTTAAGGTGTTATGCATTTCTTTAAAAATAAACTTAATTGGTTCTTGAGAATCTTAATGCATGCCAATATTGATTTCCATTTTAATATTAATTATCAATACTTAAAAGCTAAGCGGAACTTCAAAGAGCAAAGCTTGACGAAATGAATTAATTTTGTTGCCGATTCTTCACTTGTTTTCTCCCCATTTTCTCACACTCTGCTCCAGCCCATTCTCATTTTCTTTGATTAAAAACTATGATCTGTTATGCTGACAAATGCCTTTGACATTATTTCAACTAACTTGAACTCGGCTTGCAATTGCTTCTAAATATAGCAAAGGCAGCTAATTGTTAACTTGCAAACTGCCTCCCGGGTAAACCCTGCCCCCGCACTCGCCCCTGCCCTTGCTGCGCTATTCATTATGGTATTGCAGTTTGTCTTTTGAGTGGAAGTGGCAGCTGCCTGGCTGTTGGCTGGGGGCGTGTCACATTAGTTGACCTCTGTGGCCAACGTTGGGGAACGTCTAATTAGCATTGCTCGGCAATTACAATGAGCAACAACTAAATAAATAGCTGCATAATGAAGTGACCACCAGACATGACCACTGACATTGCAGCCATGCCCTGCCTCGCCCCGCCCCGCCCCGGCTTGCCCCTCATTTAGCGACCCACCCACCACAACTCCCACTTACTACTCATTTGTTACGGCTGCAACGAGCTGCTCGACAAATGCTGACACATTTGTTAGAGCGTTGTTAAAACTGCCGGAGAACAGCAGCAGCCGCAGCCATTTAGATGAGTCCCTAAACAACAACACGGGCTAATGTATACACATTAAGATATGTTGTATATGTAATCAAATGTATATGTACACTTAGAGAAAAGCTCTATTCTAAATACTAGTATGAACGGGCTGGAATTCAGGCTCTTGTTGCCATCAATTGCTGTTAAGTTAAAAGAAAAAATGTCTTGATTTCGAAGGAAAGAATAGAAAATAGAAAATAAATACATAAATACTTAAAACAAGAATTCAAATGCTTGAATTGAATCGTGAATCGTTCTTAAAGCAAGTGAAACATATCTAGCTTCAAAAAGTTCTTGAACGAAAGTTCGTGCTTAGCTTTAATATTAATTTTCATGTTTTTTTCTACGCCGTTTATCTGTTTATCTCCAAGTGTAAAACTTTAAGTAAAGCCAACATAAATAAACCGAAGCTGACGTTGTTGACCTGCTGACTGCGAACACAAGTAATTAGAACAGAAATTTATGTGTGGTTAACAAAGTTATCGTTGTTGTTGCAACAAGTGGCAGTTAAACGTCGCATTAGCCGGCACACTACGCCCATCGCGCTATTAGAGCTAATCAAAAGCCAAAACCTAAAATATTGCCACGACAATCGCAGCCAGCAGCAGCAGCAGCAACGAGAACAACACATCTGAGGTCAACCATCAAATGTGTAATTAATTCAAATACAAAACCACAAGAACATCGCACATGGTAATTAGCCAGTTAGCCAGGTTTAAAGCTGTCCCGCCGATGCTTCCACTGCTGGTGCATGGGGTGGTGCCCCTCCCCTTCTGTCCCTTCCTCTCTGACTGTCTGCTGTGGCTTATTCTGCGCGCTAATTGCATTTGCATGCATTTTGGGCCTGAACCGTAGAGCAGAACGACGAGGCATTGATTAACCATTCAGGGACTGTGACCTGAAATAAAACTCAATTCGTTTCGAGAAAGTGTATAGGCGAGAAGAGCTATTTGCGGGTTACCGAAGCCTATATGTCAGATGTGGTAAATGATTCATTACTTGGCCTGTTCATCAAACACAATTTACAGCCATTTGTTCCTCTGTGAGCTATACGATACGATATGATTCAAAGTTGTTCAGATTTGGCAAACATATTTAGGGTATGCCTAAGTAATTGGTAATTGTTGCGTTTGTTTAATCCTATGCTAAATAACAAACACATTTCTCTTTAACAAACAACTCGCATGGTTTGTCTATATCATCTCTAAGGCACTTTGTCGCATTGTAGAGTTCTTTTGTATAGTTTGCAACACTGGTTTTGGGAACTTTTCAATACTTGTTCAACTTGCATTTTGGTCACGTCAGCCGTTTGTTAACAGCTCAAGTTTTAATGTCTCTCTTTTTTATGACTGCGCTCGTTTTATAAACCAATTAATATCTTTATAAAAAAGTTGTAGTTGTAGAACTTTAAATGGGTTTATGCATAGCTAAAACGCCGACACGCAATCTTCAACGGCCAGCTCCCACGTGTCGTATGCGCAATGCCATATAAAAAACAACAATGTCAACAACTACAACAACGGGCAACTGTCTGACCTGTCGCATAAATGTCGCTAATTAGCCGCCGTTACGTGCATAACTCTTTTTGAGAACTGGACCACGCCCACACTGGCTGTCGCCAGCCATATGTCGCCACCCCCGCCCCTCTATCGCCTACACCGCACACGCCCTCACACTGATTGAGCTAATTGAAGCATATGAGTGTTTATATGAGTGTTGTATGAGTGTATGTGAATAAATACATGAATTTATTCAGTGGGCGCATTTTAAAATGATGCGACTGCGGTTTAATTAAAACACAAACGCCCAACCGCATGCCACGCCCACATGCAATGCCCGACAGCTAATTTGCATTTATAAGCCGCATTATATTTTATATTGGTTGTTGTTGTTGTTATTTGTTATGTTTAGATTGTTGAACACAATGTATAATTAGAAATATTTTGCAATAAGCGCCAACCGCAAAGTAAACGCAACGATTTGTAATTCGAATGTTTATTAATTGGCATTTAAGGGTGTTTTGCTCGGCTGCGGGGCTGCGGGGGGTCATAGGTCAATTGGCCTACATAAATTCGACTGCCTATAGCCAAAAAATAAAAAATACTCAAGGCTGCAGCAGAAACCCAAAAAGATGCTGACAAAGGCAAACCGCAGAGGTGCCACAAGTAATTACAGCAAACAGGGGCGTGGCAGAGGCGGTGAAAGAAAAGGGGGGGGGGGTCGAGGGTTGGCAATGTCCAGCCAATGTCCGATATGTGGGCTATGATTTTCCACTTGCGGTCAACCTCCACCTAAGGTTAAGGGACGTGCAAAGTAATGCATTTTTAAGCAAGCCTCGGGAAGCTGATCAAAAGCAAAAGTCCTCGCCCACAGGCAGGATGTCTAGCATTTGCGGTTTCTGTGTGCTGCGGGCCAAAAGCAGCACACAAACAGCCTGCGGCTCCTCCTGTTCAATTTATCCAGGAGCATCCTTTCGTAGGTAGCCTCTGCGGTTGTGTTTGCTTAGTCAACAGAATTTTCAGCATTTGCCTGGCAAATTAAATCAAAAACAATTTAATTGTTAGTTTCAACAGGAAATGTTTTTCGATTTTCCAATTTACCCATTTCGCCATTTTCCCTTATTTTGCTTCGTTTAACAGTTGCCATTTTCTGATTTACGTTCGACAATAAGAATTCACACACAAATTAGTCAGCTGCACGAGACTTTACCTACATCAACTCTGGCAACACAGTCTGCCCTTCTTTACACAGTCTGGCAACGCGCCTTTCACCAACTCCTTGTCTAATCGCCTGCAATAAGTCAAATTGCCCAAATTGCGGGCAATAAATTGCAGGCGTCCGTGGCAAATCTTAAGCAGTCTCTGCTAATAACCACAAAATGACAAAATGTCGCGAAAAATTGAAACTTTAAAGGGTACTTAGTGCGGGTATATGTGGCTCAGTGGGTGTGTTTGTCGAATGTTTTAAATGGAGTAGGTTTATATTTCCAATTTATATCTGTAGAATTTAGTTTTTCATTTTCATCTGATTTAGAGTTCGGCACAACGAATATGCATTAATTGTCGCAACAATTATATTTTACAAGTTTTAAACTGATAGAAAAAGTTTTTGCTGATATATTAGGTGCATGTACAAGTTCGTAATAGAAAAGTGTGGTTAGGATATATATTGAAGAAAAGTGAAGAAATTTACAGTCAGATAGTAGGACAAACAGAAGATAAGAATCGACTATCGATAAGAATAGATATATCATTATAATATATTAAATTGGCTAGGCTATGATAGACTACAATCGCCTGGGCTAACATATTTTATTTCACTCTCTGTCCATCTCTCACTCTCTCCGTCTCGTTCTGCATGAGTGGCATACAAATTTGTGATTTTCCTTTTCTGCGGCATTCGTAAACGTCGCACGCGCTGCTTGGCTCTAACAGCATAGACCTTATTATTATATTTCCTTTCACAAATTAAGCTTGATTTGCATCGCTTAGAGTTCAACTAGGTGCTCAGAAGTACATCTTCAATCAGAGTAAATCTACAATTGCCAAGAGGCCAATCCCTGGTCGACAGACTGCTTTAAACCACGTTTATTTCGATTTAGCCTCGGGTGTAAGAAAAAAATCACATTACTGGGTTCAGAGTTTAGGGTGTTTTACGTGCTTGCCCGCTGGCATTAGAATTTACCCAGTGCGC